CAATTCATGATAAAGAAATGCTCTCTATAGTAGCATGTTTGCGGGAATGGCAGGCAGAATTGAAGTCAGTTGCGAAGCCGTTTAAAATCTGGAGTGACCATAAAAATCTGAGCTATTTCGCATCAAAGCGTCTTCTAAATGAGCGACAGGTACGATACAATGACATCCTGCAGCAATTTCAGTACGTGCTGGAATGGAGGCCGGGAAATACCTGCGAGCGACCAGATGCCCTGTCACGTCGGGATCAAGATAAGCCGACCGGGCTGAGCGATGAGAGAACTGCGGGGCGAATAATGCAATTATTGCCACGCCTACCTGTAAATCCAGTTAACATCGAGCTTAGTGAAGAGAAACTAGATCCAGCTGCTAAGGTGGTATTATTTGACGAAGATGAACTGCAGACGCTGTGGAAAAGAGGGGTACAAAGTGACGAGGATTGGCGCCGTGCACGTGATTCTGTGCGCGACGGGGAGCGTGGATTTCCCCCAGACTTAGCGCAGAAGATGAAAGCTAATATTGGCGAGTGCACGGTAGCCGCTGATAATATTCTCCGGGGCCGAGAAAATAGGATCTGGGTGCCTGATTACGAGCCACTCCGAACAGCAATCATGCAACGTTCGCATGACAGCCATTTGGCTGGCCATCCAGGAAAAGATACCATGGTTGGCATAATATTACGACGATGGTTTTGGCCGAAAATTAGGGATTCAGTGCGAAAGTTTATCCGGAATTGTGATACCTGTGGGCGGACCACGGTGTGGCGAGAGGCGAAAGCTGGGTTTCTTCGGTCTTTACCAATACCCGATCGCATAGGTAGTGAGCTGACTATTGATTTCGTCACTGACCTGCCACAATCACGCGGCTGTACAAATGTCATGGTGATCACCGATCGCTTGGGTAAAGACGTTTTCATGTTCGGAACCGAATCAATGGATGCACCACTGTGCGCTTCAACATTCATTGATAGATATTACCGGTACTATGGGTTCCCGAGGTTTCTGACTAGCGACCGGGGTAGTGATTGGGTTGGGCATTTCTGGGGTACTTTCTGCAAGCTAACTGGTATTTCACAGCGATTATCTACGGCCTATCACCCGCAGACCAATGCAAGCGAGCGGGCGAATCAAGAGATGTACAAGTACCTTCGAGTGTTTACGTGTTACGCTCAGAATAATTGGGTGGATCTCCTCCCACTGGCACAGTTGGCATTAAACTCGAGGCCAAACTCAGTAATTGGAGGGATGAGTCCATTCTTTTTACGACATGGTTACAATCTGGACCCAATATCTGAACCAACCCCATCAACGGAAGAACTGTCAAAACACCCTGGACGCCGAGCGGCAGGTGAATACGTGCAGAGACTACGGGATGCCCAGGACTTTGCTCAAGCCGCAATGGCATCAGCGCAACAACGGAACGAGGAAAACGCGAATCAATATCGACGGCAGCCAGAACAGCTCAAGGTGGGCGATAAAGTGTGGCTAGACCTGCGGAACATTAAAACACCTCAACTATCAAAAAAGTTGGCCTGGGTTCATGCCAAATATGAAGTCACAGCAGTATCTGGCCCACTGACAGTCGAATTGAACGTCCCTGGAAAGATACACAAGCGCTTCCATGTCGAATTAGTCAAGCGCGCAGGTAATGATCCACTGCCCAGCCAGGTTAGAGACGACGCCCAAAACCCACCATTGATTGATGACCTCGAAGGTCCAGAATATGAAGTGGAATCTATCCTACGAGCGCGATCTATCCGTCGCGGTAGAGGAAACTTTCGTCAGGATTTGGTAAAGTGGACAGGCTGGGCCGAGCCAACTTGGGAGCCGATTGAAAGCATTAGGGAAACGCAAGCACTCGACAGGTTCGAGGCTACTTACGGTAATATAGAGATAAATAATGGTCCTGAAAACGATAGCTCTGGAGGATTCGTAGGCCCTGCAGAGGGCCATATATTGGATAAACGGCGTCAAAAACGCCATGGCAAAAAACAAACAAAATTTTTTTAAAAGATAAATAAAAAAAATTACAAGAACCTCCCCATCTATTTCCTAAAAAATTTTGGAGGAGAGCTTGTGACGGCTTGTAAGCCGGTAATTGCCTGTAGCCTGCGTTTGACAGCGCAGGCTTAGCATGAAACTAGGCAGGGACTATTCTTGGAAGCAGGGTCTTATAACTTGGCAAACACCTCTAAGAATAGGGCACGAGAAGGGATACGAGATGGGATACGAGATGGGATACGGATATACAGATAGAAAACTGTGTCATTGGCCTGGATAATAATCATGTATAAAGTAACTGTTATTATCCTCTTCAATCTGTAGTTCACCATAGATTGAAAATAAACTACCTCTGACCATAAGGTTGCTCAAGTGCCTATGCTTAGACTGTGACAAAAGTCCACAAACTAAATAGTGGGTTATACATTTCAATAATTTGAAGCATGCAGGCTTTGTTTGTACCTGTGTTTTTGAGTTCTTCCTTTATTATTGAATATGGTCAACAGACTAGGGTGTGGTACCATTCGATTGTCCCCATAGACCAATGAGCTTTGACAGTGACATTTTTGACAGATATAGCCATTGAAGCTGCACTCTGGTAGAACTCTTTGCCGGTGAAATTAGTTCCTGCATCAGTAACAATAAAGTCCGGAGGACTGATATAAACGTCAATCCAACAACTACAAATAGCATCCCATGTATGCTTTGCCAAAAGATTTTGGAGCCATCTTGCTGCTTGAAATTTTGTGGCCGTGTCCACAATTTAAAGGACTGGAACAGACTCGATGTACATCACATCCACAATGATGGAGTGATTAAATTGAATTCCTGGGTCACAAAGGTTAAACTTGAATTGGCTTGGTGGACCTCTGTATTTTTGACAATAGGTGCAGAACTTGGTCAGATGGTCAAATATTTTTTTCTGTCAATATTTTGACGCCTAGATTGTTGCAAAACGTCGTGAAGTCTACTAGCAGAAGGGTGACTGCAGCGTTGGTGAATTCTTCTTAATTCCGATTCTGTGAGGAGATATGGATTGGAGGTAAAGGATGAGGTGATGAAAGATTGTGAGAATTCTCCCCAAATTAGAAAGGCATGGACAAAACGCTGTATAACTGGTAGTTTAGTAGATTTAGAAACTAAAATGTTTTGAATATTATTGTAGTAAACGCCTGATTTATCCATATCTGAAAGAGAAAGTAAGAAAGGAGTGTCAGCCTTAACAATATGAAATTCAATTTCTCCAATTGGGGTTTTTAGAATGATGGAGCCAATAGTGGTGGCGCATCTGTTGGAAATTCTGACTCTCGAATTTAGGACTCAATCATTACCTGTTTTGTCTCAGGTTCCCGACAAGATCGACTCTCTCTACAAATGTCCTGAGTACGCTAATTGCGCCTACTGTTGCCTATACGTTTGGATATTTACGTACGACAGTGTACTTTTCTTTTTTGCATCAGATTTTAATTGCATATGCAGCTATCTAGCTATGACACAATATCAAAGAAAAGTACAGAATAGATAATTCAACGTAAAGGAAGAGCACTCATGCCTCGGATTTCATTTGCAAGTATCACTGCAAAGATATGGCGGCTATTTCTTCACCCCAAGTCAACCCTCATCTGTGAATACCCACCCAGGGGAACGTCTCAAAAACCCTGGGTTATCCAGACATGCCTCCATCATCTTTCAACTATTATCCGCGCAATATGTGATCTAAGGTGTCTCCTTCCCAAGTGGAGTAGGTGCTCAGGCTACTCAAACTATACCAGAGAACACCGCCAGAATGCGGGCCAGAACACCTTCCATTGTTTGCTTGTGTTTATAGTGTCAGCTGCACCCTCGCAAACGAAGTCTTGGCGCACACAAAGCTCAATTCGTTAAACTCTTGCCTATATTCCAAATTTCACGCCCTTCGAGGTTATATCCTTCCATTGCATCGTCTTGTCAACTTGTCCTGATCCCTCTCACGTCAATCCCAAAGAACAGTTTCCCAGATTTGTGCGCCACGCTTTGCTTCCTCTATCGGGTATAAGTATCGGCGTGGGCGTGTATTTGTAGGTCAACTGGGACCAGAGAAGGTCGAAGAGAGGTGTAGTCATAGGGATGAGGATGTACTAGGTCGTACTTGTAGACTTGATGAGACTTAGGTAGGCGTCAAACTCGTTGGGAGTGAAAAAGCGACGTGGTAGAGTATTTTCAATTTTTGCCTTGCAGACCAACTTCTTTGATATTGCGAAATTTGACTGAACTTGGCTCAGAGAGAATATTTTACTCCTAGGTTCGTAGAGGACACCGCGTACAGGTGCTCAGTCTTGCCCTTTTGTACTTTGGCTCATTGTGGTAGATGAGAGGTGGCTGGTCATCAGTAGGTTTGACAGGCACATGAGACTAGTGGGAATTCCTCCCCTAAGATGTATACATTGTTGAGCGGATTGGTTTGCAAAAGCTTGTGGCTGTTAGGCACAGATTATATCACTTGGTGAAGCGAGTGGGAAAGTGAAGGAGTCTGAAAATCTGTTGTGGAGAGTTGTTAATTACTCCCACTAGGACACAGAGTGCTATATAAACTATATTTTGTAATAATAAAATCTAGTGGTTGGTATTTACGTCAAAGCGCATTAATACTAACCTCACAATTAATGGGAGATTAGTAATGTGTATTCTACACATCCCTGTCTTTACCATAATTGAAAGCACCAATTTCAACATACATGAGTCCAATGTTCCCATAGTTGTAAAATATCAAGTCTTCTTTACTTCATCATATTTATCCATATAATATTGTAAAGAGTATATTTTCCCACAAAGTGCATGTTTATCCTTCAGAGATTTCAATTTCCATCATCTATTACCTTTCTAGCAAGCTAGATCCAAAAATATTTGCCAACATGTACTACTACATTGTAGCCCTGATACTTTAAAGCGTCGGCGTTTCCGTAGCAGTCTTGGAGGCTTTTCAAACGCTGCATATCCTGGGGAACCAAAAATCATTTAATTGTGATGGACGAATTTACAATAGTCATACAATTGACCATTATAGAGATGAGAATGGAAAATTTCCCTATTGGGTCACAGGAGATGATGGACTTGTTAGGCGAGTTTCAAGCGCCGCCATAGCAAGGCAGACATATGTGAAATATATATACCTGTGACGGTCTTAAAGTGGCGTTTTATTCAAACTGAACTCAGAGCTAGATACAAATGAAAATCTTAAAGTAACGAGCAGAGACATGACTGAAAGCCTCCTATTTATTTACAAGACTATGATCTCGTTCCCTTGTTTCATACCATTCTCAAAATAGATCATGACCTGTCCTCCGACAAACACCAGCATCTCCGTCTATTTTAATTCAGCTTCATTTTAATGTTAGTAATTTTAGTTATTAAAATAGTTATGATGCATGTGGCTTAGATGACTCACGACTGGTGTTCGAGTCGTCCTGTCTGCAATCTAAATTTGTCATTTAAGAATAGATTTGCATGAACTGGGCCAAGGCCTATACTTGGGTCTAATGAGTTGTGGAGGGGTTCATGACATGTATGATGTTTAATATGGTTGGAAGAGTTCAAGCCTTATTTGTTAGGCAGCAGCCTAATGATAACCAGGTATGAGCCTGTGACAATACCACAACAATTCAAGAAGAATTGATCATCTACATCTGCCTATTTTTGAATCTAATCAAGGAAAACGCCACTAACCCTGAGCGAAACCGCACTATGACCAATAGTTCCACACAGGCGCTGTAATGATCCGAGATACACTCATTTTCGACCGACATTTGCAAATATGTGCCATTATAACCCGAATTGGCCAACCAACAGACTCTCCCCATCGAGAGACTAGAGCCGTGTACGACGTTTCAGATACATTCTGCCCAATTCAGCAACCAAGTACTCACCACTGAGATGGGGAGGTTGTGTGAAAAATATGTATATAATCTTTTAAATTTATTACAAGTTGGAACAGTTGGGGCTATCAAGTGCGCCACGTTGTTGACACACGTGACTAAAAGCCTGTTCTTGGTTGTTTGAAAATGCTGCTTAGTCAGCTGGGTGATTTGGTTAAACCCCCTCACCCTCTGTATTTAATACATTATTGTAAATGTGTCAGTGCGTAGCAGGGATAACACACTCTTGATGTATGAGGCTAGCCATGTTGGTCGCATGGAAGCGAGATTGAGTGTGGTACTAATAGAAGACTTACTCCCGTTAGATTCTAGTGCCAGTTAATCTAAAACCCTATTGAACCTACCTTCTTGCTTCCCTTGCACATTAGTACTCTGTCGGTGATAATTACACAGTAGGGTGCTTCTTTTTAACAGGTTATGAAGTCCGGTTTACGCCGTAGGTCATAGGTTATTCAACTCACTCACTATCGGCGCACAATAGGACCGTGAAGTACGACAGGACTGTACTGAAAGCCGAAAAGCTGCACGAAAGGATTCGTGCTAGAATACCGTCTTACAATAGGAACGTAAACGGAATTTCTGAGCGTTCAACCTTGGCCGGGGGCCAATTTTATTTTACAATTCATCACTCGGCAACGTCGGGACTTCAACAAATACGACTCGAATTCACAAACTAACACAGACAATCCGACACAAATCGTCTAACGCAACATATCATGATGGAAGACGCCGGCCATTGGGGGGGAGAAAAACTCTCCAAGCTTAACCATGAAAATTGGTTCAGGCTAATGAAAGCAAACTTTGAATGCAAGGGAGTCACTCACGTTCTAGAAAAGACTCTGACCGAATACGCCCAAGTTGCTGCGCCAGACCCGTCAATTTCAAAGAGGGCCGATGTCGAGGAAGTGGCACAAAAATCACAGAGCAAAACCATCTTCTTGAACATAGAGAAGAAGTCAAAGTATTTGAAAGACGCTGGAATAATAAAGGTGTTGCTTCTAAAGGGGTTAGACAATGACGACCAAGCGCTTCTGGATGAGTATGAGACTCCGGCAGAACTTTGGAAGTATCTAAAGTCAAAGTACTCAAAGCCTAGTAAGCTTGCAGCCGCGCAGTACACCAAAGAGCTGAACAATTTCGAGTTCACATCTGGGCTTACAATAATGGATGCCTACAACAAACTTAAAGAGATCAGAAGAAAAATTGTCTCCGCCAAGCCATCAGCAAAAGGCCAGTACGATGACGAGGCTCTACTACTCATCCTCATCTCTGCTCTTCCAAAAGTTTACCAGTCGACGGTCGATTCTCTAAGCATCAACAATGAGCTTTCTGTCGATGAACAGCTGAAACATCTCGAGAACAAGGAAGAAAGGCTGAGATTTGCTCCCGACAATGAGCACGCTCATGCTGCACGGACTCGTACGACAAAGAGTCGTCGCCCAAAACAGAATCAGAACCAAGATTCCGACGTCGAGATGATTGATGCCATAGAGTGCTATCTCTGCTTTGGGAATCATCTCATCGTCAATTGTGAACACCTTGGGTGGGCACAAAACCAATTGAGAAAAGAAAAAAGAGAGAAAAAGAAGCTGTCTAGTTCTAGAAGGACTCATGTTGACTCAAAGAAGAAAAGCTCCAAAAAATCTCGCGGGTTTGTAGGTACAAATGTCGATGAATCATCATCATCCTCGGAAACATGCTCCTCTAGCTCATCAGATGAATCAGTCGTGGAGACAGCTGCCCTCACAAAAGAGCAAAAAAGAAATTCATGTAAGCGACCTTCAGAATGGCCAATTGACACTGGCGCATCATCACACATGACTGACCAACTCAAGCTTTTTAGAGGACCATTAGAAAAGCTCAAAAAGAAACGCCAAATCCAGGTAGGAGGAGGCATACTATGGTCAGAAGCTCGTGGGACTGTTAGAGTCGAGGCAAATGATGGATCTTTCTGCTATCTTAAGGATTGTTTGTTCGTCCCTGGACTTGGGATAAATTTAATTTCAGCTCGATGTTTGTGCCGAGATGGTATTGTTGGGATACACGACTCCAAGAACATGTATTTTAAGAAACTTGATGAGTTCCTTCAATTCAGAAATGATCATAAAACTTTTCTGCACGCAAAGCAAAAGAATGGCTTATACATGCTAAAGTCCATATTCTCAGAAACTCCCGAGCCAGCTTTCATTTCAAACGAAAGTAAATCTGTCAAATCCTCAGTAGATACTAATACTCAGGTGGAAAGTACAGATGAAGATCCGGATATATCGGAACATGATGAGGCTTATAAGTCTAAAAGGAAAAGATATAGACTAATACATAGAAGATTTGGCCATTACGGATCCGAGGCTTTACGTCACCTTCACGAAGTAGCGAGCGGAATCAAAAAGATTTCCATCCCTGAGAAAGAGAAACGGATCTGCGAATCTTGTAAAATAGGTAAGATGAAGAGAAAGATAAGCAAAGAACTTGAGGTACATAAAGATAAAGTTCTCGCCCAAATCTCCATTGACATTGCGGGTCCGTTTGTGATGTCTATTCGTGGATTTGAGTACTTCTTACAGATAGTCGATAGCTACTCACGGAAGATCTGGACCATTCCTCTGAAAACGAAAGATCAGGCAATCTCGGCGCTGCGCGAATGGAAACTTTTAGAGGAAAGAAAGACAGGCAAAAAACTAATCGCATGCAGGTCAGACAATGCACCGGAATTGAAGAAGATCATGGACGAATGGCAGAAAAAGGACGGTGTAAGTGCCCAGTACACCACGATTGCTTCTTCACACCAAAACGGGGCAGCTGAACGAGCCATTCAAACAACGGAAAATGCGATAAGAACAATGACTCACGCTGCTAGCCTTCCTGCAGAATTTTGGTGTTTTGCTGCAGAAACTGATGCCCATGTACGAAATAGACTAGCACGTGGCCCCAAAATTAATGGAAAAAGGACATCTCCAGAGGAAGCATACACTGAGATAAAGCAAAAATCAGACCATCTAAAAGTCTGGGGGTGTATTTGCTACGTACATGTAGACTCAAAGACAATCCCAGTGAAGCAACTTCATAATAAACAAGCTAACAGAAGAAGACAAGCAGTTTTTTTGGGGTATAGTAATGAAACTACAAAGCAGTATTGGTATTACTCGGCAGACTTAGGTTATGTTCAAAGATCAAGTTCAATTGAGTTCGATGAAAATTCTAAAGGTGGCAGATTAGACTTGAGACTCAGAAATTTACCTAGCCAGGTTACTGGGCAGGGGACACACACGGGCTTAATTGATCGAAAGCCTCGCGGTAGACCAAAGAAATTTTCCGACGATAATCAACAACAATTGACTAGTCATTCGTCTCCAAACGAGCAAATTGAAAGCCAACAACTAAATGTCGAGCAACCTTCTACACAGGATATAGAACTGGTCGATGCACCACAGATAGCGCCATCACCAAAACTTCCAGCTATCCAACAAGAACAAGTAGAAAATGCAATTAAAATTTCAGGAGATATAATCACGTTTGAACTCCCAACGATAGCGGAACCATCGGAAATCATAAAAAATGACAAAGCAGTCGATGGGAAAAGTAAAGTAACTGTTGCCCCTGAGAATGCGACTAGTTCGATACAAGTTACTACTTCTGCAGATGAAAAACGTCGAAAAGAAAAGAAATCCTCTGCAGAAAAGAAAAAGAAAAGTAAGGACAAGGCCCATGGAAAAGAAAAACGAAGCCGGAAAGTCGATGAACTGAAAATAACAGAGAATCCGAAGGAAAATCACGAATCAGACATAGTCTGCGAAGATTTTAACACTCAGCCATCTACTAATAACGAATCACCTCCTTTAGAATCATCTGAAATTAATGAGGCAGAGGTGACCACACAACTTCTATCGAAGCAGGTAGAAATTCAAACAACCATGGACATTGATTCAGAATGGGAAGATGACTATTTGACAACAAAAAAAAAATGGAGGATTATACAGGAATTGAAAGGGAAAATAACGACAAGAAAGTCGTGATACCCACCTCCAGGTATTTGTTTAGACCAAGGAAAAGATCTGGAAATGGTGATGAAGATGAGCGTCAGGCAAAGCGCATTAGGGCAATGATATCCTTCTTCAAAAACCAGAGGAATAAGCTCGTAAATTCAGACCAGCTTGAGCATGCGCTTGCAGCAATGACACAGCCTCAAATATATGGGAAAAGGGTTCGAAAAGGAATTTTCAAAGGATTGTACGCTCTATTTTGCCAAATTCCGGAAAATGATGAAGACTACGCACTGCAAGCTAAGATAATCCATGGTATAAGGATCCCAAGGACATACAAGGAAGCCATGAGAAGTCCCCAGGCAAAAGAATGGGAAGAAGCTGTAAAAATGGAAATAGACCAGCTAATAATGAATGGTACTTGGGAAGAAATGTTATTACCGAAAGGCGCAAATCTGGTTTCAACAAAATGGGTTTTTACCATAAAGGAGACTGTTAACGGAAATATTGAAAGATTTAAAGCAAGACTGGTAGCAAGAGGTTTTAGCCAATCGCAGGGAATTGACTACACGGAAACATTCGCGCCGACTGTTCGAATGGATACATTTCGCATATTCCTCGCCACAGTAGCCAAAAGAGATTTAGAATGCTACCAATTTGATATTAAAAATGCTTTTACTGAGTCTAAATTAAAAGAAGAAATATTCCTTTGCCCTCCAGAGGGTGTATTAGTTTCGAATGGGAAAGTTCTGAAAGCACTTAGAAGCCTTTATGGGTTAAAGCAAGCTGGACGCGACTGGAACTTGTTACTGCGTGACTTCATTGTACACAATTGTGGTTTTAAGCAGAGCCTTGCTGATCCATGCTTATTTGCTCACGAAAAAAGAAAGATTTACTTATTGGTTTATGTCGACGACATTGCTGCTGCTAGCGAAGATATGAAACAGATTGATTGGTTCTACAAAAATCTGTCACTGAGATTCAACGCCAAGAACCTGGGGGAGATTTCAAAGCTTC